TGATCCGTCAGTGGCGAAAATGCCAAATGAAAATGTAGTCTCGTAATTCATTTTCTTTTGTATTCACAACTTTCCAGTTAATGATCATACACCCATCGTCCAAAATTGAGCGTTAATTAGACTGATGGCAAATTTGATCAACTGACCAATGTCAAGGGGCTGAACTATTAACGCAAACCTATAATATATTTAGATATTATTACTATAATATATTTAGATATTATTACTTTAAACGTTATAAGTGGGTGCACATGATTGAGTAGAGATTGGAAAGAATGAAATTATATATATTACTTCAAACGTTATTTTTAGTGGATATCCGTGTTTGAAATAGCCGTTCCGTTATTGTTTTAAACAGTGTGTATCGACCTGCGCACTCGAGAAATCGTCAAAGAAAATGTTATCTTCATCACAATTCGAACCTGCGCCCAACTTTGTAGGAGAAACCACCATTTGATTAACGTGGTCTAGGTGGCGAGACCAAACAAAAAATATCCGATTAAAAATAAATCTATTCTTTAGAAATACATATATATATATATATATATATATATATATATATATATATATATATATATATATATATATAGAGAGAGAGAGATAGTGGTCAGTATATATATATTTCCAAGAGGATATAATCCAGGTAGAGCTCAATGTCATAGACAGCGCCAGACCATAATAAACACTAATATTTCACGTTTGATATTATTTTAGTGGCTTCTACTGCTATTATCGCATTGCTCTTCAACTGAATTGAGCTCTCCGCAAGAAACGTACCCGCAAAATTCCGTGTGTCTTGATTGCTATTATTCTATGATTCCTTTTTGCCGGTATGCTTGTTAAACTTTGTTAAATTATTCTTGTAAACTATTAAATATATGCTGATTAACATCTTTGTTCTCTTCTGACATTTTTATAAATTTATGAATAAAAATTCGTTTTCATAATTATTTCTTTATAATATAAATATAATAAATATTGCATTGTAGCTTGTTTCCATATTTTAAATAATCTCGTCGATATAAAATTATCCTCCTTAAGAAATGTTTAACATTTTTGCTATCATTTTTTGAGATTAAATGTATAAAACCAGTTTGCTATATTTAGGCTTTATTAAAATTCTAAAAATACCTTATTAAACAATAAACATTAAAGAGGAAGTATACAGTCATCGCGCTATCAAGAGGAAAACCTTCCTTTTTGATACACGGCTTGATTGATGCATATATATATATATATATATATATATATATATATATATATATATATATATGGTTATTTTTCTGAACACAGAGTGTGTAAAAAAAACTAACAAAATCCATCCGAAACATACTAGTACAAAATACAAGCATAATAACCTCATCCACATGTAAAAACGATAAAAAAAAAATAATGGAAGCCCTAATAATAAAAACAATCAAAAAGCTCAATAATATTAACTATAAACACCGCCACAATGTGCCGATTGATTGAAAAATAAAACAACCCTATAACTCATACACAGAATCCGTACATCTATTTAAAAAGTAGAAATAAAATCATCCTTAATAATAGTTAAATGTATAGCCGAAAGCGCTCGGAAATGCAGAACATTTGGATAGTTTTTACACACTTTATGTTCAGAAAAAAAAACACTTGTATGAACAAAAGAAAAATTAAATAAAAAGCTTTTACGCAGTACCTTATCAGTCGTCTTTAACGAAACATGTATAAAAGAGTGATTGCAGCGTAAAATATATATATATATATATATATATATATATATATATATATATATATATATGATAAAGTTTGTGCTTCCCCCCACCTCCTGAAAATGATCAACCCGTGTATTTCTGGAAGATAGCGATCTTATGACAACTAGTGTTGCTAATCAAACTTCTCAATATTATGAAATACAACATTAATAGAGAGCATGATATTTACCACGTCTCCCCACTGAGATGTGATGTGATAAAAAGTCGGGTTTAATGTGGGGACCCGAGCGCCTACACCCGGGCCAGGGCTAAAAATTGGCCAACCCACGCAACCATCGGTTGCGCTGGCTTCGGTATGACTACCAATCGCTGTTTCTAGTGGAATGAAGAGTGTACAGCTACAGGAAGCTATTCCTCGTTACCGGGCAGCTCTGAGTATTTATTTTTCAGCTGCGACACAACTAAGCCGCAATCTATCCAAAGACTGAGACGCAACTGAAAGATAACAACCCTTCCCGGTATGTGTCAGGTAAGTATAAAACAGATAGATTAATAGAGCGTTTTCCATATCTGTATAACTGCAATTTGTTAAGATAGTTGAACATTCCGTTTTTCCATCATGGAAAGTACATTTAAGTCATGTGTGCTTTACCAGTAGGCTATGGGAAGCCATTACAGAAAAGCGGGAAAGAGAACGATTAATAGTGATAGTTTCAATAAATGAGAGTGTTTCTGAAGTTCTTGAAACATGTGATGCTTAATAAAGATATCTGAAATAATAATTTTGTCTTAGCTCAACAAATATCATCTGCACACGTGTGCGCATAAAGGGGACAGGGAAGCCACTTCGAAATACATATGGTAATCAATATTTTGATAAGCAAAAAAGGTAAATCCATGTTAAAAATACTTCAACGTTTATCTACATTTGAACTTAGTGAAATGAATAAACTCACTTTTCATGTCGCATTAAAAGACAAAACTAATTTTTACGATCACTCAATACTTTTTCTGCAATATCTGTTCGACAAAATTATTTTTGTTGTTGTTTTTTTTTTTCTTTCTTTAATGGGCCCATTGTATCTGACAGTGAATGCTGCATCTATTTAAGAAAGCCCGGTGCAATAATTCCAAATTTATTGACTTTTGTTCATGATTTTTGCTGCTGTTGTTGGAAGGATTATCGCCTGGAATTCGTTTTTTAAAGACATTAATTTCCGCTATTTTCATCCAGAATTTGACTGTATTAAAAATAAATATTTTAATTTCTGTCAGATCTTACATCAATTTAGATAGTTTTTTTTAATTCTTACTCTGTATTTTCATTCAGAAAATATTTTCTTAAATTATATTTCATGACAGAATTTTAAAGATGCGACACAATTTCACTGAAATACCTGAAACAATACAAACACTAGATTCCAAGGTTTGAATTATACAGCAAATAACTATCCATGGAAAAGTGGTGAAATACAACGAAATACAACGTACTGAACATTATTTCTGAGAAAAAAAAACGCTAATAACTAGCCAGATTTGCGGGGATATTATGGACATATTTTGTGACTGGAAGGTGAGGAGCCGAGGCAGCGAAACAAGAAAACCTACAAGAAATGATATATGTAAAAAAGAAATTACTGTAACTATACACTACATTATGGCATAGAGATACCCCACCTGAAACTACTGTAGGGTTCAGATCCAGTTACAGCCCCGAGATTATGCACCTGCTGATGGGATAGCCTCCTTAAGAGCTACTCTAAGATTCGGATCTCTGACTTATCAGGCGGAAAAGCAGAAAAAGCAGAAAAGGCGTTTTACCTCCGGCACCCTTGATGAAGAGACAAAAAATCCATGTATAAGAAATTACAGGCATATCATCAAAGTGAACTTATCTCGTTGACCCAGGTATGAAGGTGTTAGAACTCGGGGCAGAATCATAATGTCTAAGCGAGGCATTCAGACACATAAAACAAGGTTGCTCGATTGTAAGGATTAAATGACCCACTGGGAGAAAATGTTTTACAAAAACTTCTCGGAGATGAGCAAACATCTCCTTGGATTTAGTGTTATTGTAATATTTAACTGGGAATCCATTGATTAGAGAAACTAGGATTGAAGTGACAAGCTTCTGAGAGGACCTCATAAAATTTGGAATGTTTTTATGCTTTAACTTTAAAGTTTCACTGGCTCCTATAGAAATGGAAATAGATGGAAATTCCACAATATTTTTATTAGACAGACAGATAGGTAAAGAGATTGATAGGTAGATAGTGATAAGGATATGTAGATAGAGAGAGAGGGAGAGAGACACACACACACAAAGAAGGAGATAGAAACAGAGATAGACAGACAAACAGAGATAGACAGAGAGATACAGAGATAAACATATATATATATATATATATATATATATATATAAAAGTGAACATAGAAGTCAACACTTAGAGACGACAGTGTTTCATGCAAGATGCAATCGTGGCCTGACGATTACATCTAGCATGAAACAGCCTGTCGCCTCTAAGTGTTGACTTCTATGTTCACTTTTATATTTACACACGCTCTATCTCTGATATTGAGCACTTTATCCCATAAATATAGCACATCTTAAGACTATATTTCTTTATTTATATATATATATATATATATATATATATATATAGAGAGAGAGAGAGAGAGAGAGAGAGAGAGAGAGAGAGAGAGAGAGGCAGAGAGACAGACAGAGAGCGAGACATAGAGGGATATAGAGAATATGTTAGATAAAGATATAAACAGGCTGCAAAATAGATTAATGCTGATCAGGCTAAGAATTCTTTATCCGCCAAAATCTAAACCCAAAGACCGAACAATAAAAGAGTCGCGTGTTGATTTGAAAAATGTTGAACACAAACAAATCCTGCAGTAATGCAAGTTGTAAGCACTCATCTCGTCTTCATCATATCCATCTGCGCACACTGACCTTCTTGACTCTATGACGCTGATGGATGCAGTGTCGCTTGTTCATCATGTTAAGAGTCTTTTCTTTTTCTTTATTCTTGTCAAGTAAACACGTGTGATCAAAACTGGACCCACTGATGCAGAATTAGGAAAAGCAAATTGTTTAGAAAGGTCATGTTATATCGAGAAAGGGTAGATTTCCCCAAGGTTAGTCGACACAATTTTTACTAAAGAAATGGTCATGTGACAGATTCACACGTGATCTGGACTTAACTGGAGCGGACGTATTGCGCTTGCATTTGTTATATTGTCGTAATAGTCTCGGAACATCATTTTGTTATGAGTTGATTTATAGCTTCAACTGGCTTACGGCCACATCACGTTGAAACACCGTTCCCCATACGATCAGCGAAGTTAAGCAACACCTAATCTGGTCAGTACATAGATGGATGACTGCTTGGGAATACCAAGTGCTGTAAGCATGGATGTGCAGGTGGTGTAATAGAACTGTTAATCTAAAAGTCGTATTCCAATTCGGTTCTGTTTGTTATATACACTTAATTACAAATACCCTTGGGAAAGTCTGAATCCACCTTTTCTATCTCCAGTTATGGGTTAATAAGTAAGACTCGTATCACTAAAACATTATCTCCAAAAAAAAAATTCATACACTCTAAAATATTTTCTGGCTTTAAATAACTTGCGAAGGGTGGATAAGCCGTAGAAAACGAATCAATCAATTTCCCTTCAACTGTTGTCGTAACATTGTTTTCACATTCAAAGTGCACTGCAAATAAACTCGAATAAACTAGAACAGTCTACTCCGGTGAGCGAAATAAAGGGTTCAGATCGACATTCCAACCACCTGAAGAAGGCCGTAGCGTACAACGGCCGAAACGTTGTGATAAATATGGCGACAGAGATGAGGACAATAGTCCGAATAATGTAAATAATGTACATAATACCTCATCTCAGAAATATAGACAGATACTGAAGGGCCGAAACGTTGTGATAAATATGGCGACAAAGATGAGGACAATAGTCCGAATAATGTAAATAATGTACATAATACCTCATCTCAGAAATATAGACAGACTCTGAAATAAACTCGAATAATAAAATCTGCGAACCACGAGTCAATGTATTAATAACTGATGCGTAAAAACTGAATATTGCTTAAAATGAGGGATTATATACATCTGTCTTGTTCGTATACAGTATGGATCATATCTATAAAACCGGTTGAACGTTCAACTCGTCAATATTAAATTTAGATGATTTACTATATTATAATATTTGTGTATACATATGAAAAATGTTTCTGCAAGTAACTGTTTTGAAAGCTACTTTTTTAATCATTTCAATTAAGACAATAAAGTCACAATGGGTTAGTGAGTGTGAAAAAAATGAGACAAAACATTATTAAAGAGCGAAAACAATAAAAGAAGAGGAAAAAACAGTAGATAACGATTGACATTGATCTTCAAAAATTTAAATGCAAACTTGGTTGGAAAGCAAGAATTCGAAAGAGAGTTCCACAGGCGATAAGTGCGAGAATTGAAACTGTTAGAATAGGACCTGCGTATGTATCTAACCATTTCAACTGTAAAATGATGAGGTTTTGCCGCATGTGCCTGCGCTTAAATTAAAAAAGTCTAGGTAGTAAAGTCTGTGCAAAGGTCATCAGAATAATTATCATGAAAATGGACAGGGAAATTACATTATGGCGGTGTGAAAGTAAATGAAGCCGGGATAACAGGTGCTGTTAAGCTTGGATGTATGGGTGGTGTTAATGGATAATGGCTCGGAATTGTTAATCGGAATCCGAGTTCCAATTCCCGTTGGGTTCATTAATATTCACTTACGTGCAAAATATCCTTAGAAAAGTATGAATTCATCTCTTCTTCCATAACTATGTATTACTAAACTAAAAAAAATCTAATCTAATCTAAAAAAAAATCTAAAACTATTTTCTGGCTTTAAATAATCTACAAAGTCTTAATAAGTCGCAGAAAACGAACCAATCAATCAACAATTAGAGAATAAATTCATAAAATCATTCACCCAACTTATCACGATTGCCACATAGATATTTCGCTTTTTCTTTATCTATTTTTCTATTTATCATTTTGCTATTTTATTAACTAAATTCCAGTTAAGTGAAGAAAAACATTCGACTGTTAAAAGCAGAATACAATTAACTTTGTAAATTTCTCCAAGTATAACATTGAACATTAATATCGGACATACATTAATGCCAAAATAAATGTTATATTTAATTAAACATTAATATTGAAGTAAAACTTGGTTTAGACACACAGTCCAATATATGAATTATATATAACACCTGATAAAGATTGGCTTCTCAAGATGTATATTATTATTATTATTATTATTATTATTATTAATAATAATAGTAGTAGTAATAATAATATTAATAATAATATTTTTATTATTATATGTTAAATGTTTTCTTCTGATTTTCAACAAATCATAAAAACAATACTGGCCGATTTTTCATTTGCTGTTGCCCACTATACTGACATTATTATGGATTATCAATACCGCATGATATATTTAAAGTAAATTAAAAAAATTGTCATTTTCAGTGGTTAAATAACAGACTGGATCCAGAAAAAAAAAACAATATTTCCTCTACCATAAAAAATAACGTAATATTTGGATTTCGAAATTATTACATCCAAGGCGAACACCATTTAACTCCTTAATTGAAAAAGTCAAAATGAAATTAGTTTGTCGACATCGAAAAATTTATAAAATTTTTTTGTTAAATACCAGCTTCAGATTCATTACAAATTCATATTAGTCCAAATTTGGAATCGTTAACGCCGAATGTGACATTGATGCAAGTAATATTGTACAAATTTAAAAACGTCCCTTGGAAAGCAATACAGAAATAAAGCTGAAAGAAATTCAACTCAAAATGAGTTGAAAATATGGACTAACTACGACAAAATGATTAAGTATGGAAACGAGTAGGAGAACTTTTATAAATTTTATAAATACCAAGATGGATGACCACTTGAGATTACTGGGTGCAGAATGTTTGGCTGTGTGGGTGGGTGTAATGCATAATATGTCTGTGAATTGTTAATCGGAGAGCCGAGTTCTAATGACCGTTGGTTTTGTAATATTCACTTACGCGAAAAATACTTTTGGGGAAAGTATGAATCCACTTCTTCACCCCTCGGCTATAGGTTAATTAGTAAGACTTGTATTACTAAATCATCATTAACTCCGCAAAAAATATATATATTCTTTCAATCTAAAAATATTTTCTGGGTATAAGTAACTTTCACAGGATTGATAAACCGTAGAAAACGAATAGTTTTGTACGCTGCCTTGGGTCTCCCAAGAGGTTGTTTCCCAATTACTATAATCTTAACCTGTTCAAGTCCAGGGTTAACTTTTATCTTCCGCACATATCTGCATAAACTGTACCTCTTACTCTGTAACCCTCTACCTCGAGTGGCTCCAGAAAAACAGACTATCATTATTGTTTCGTTCGTGTATTGTCTGTTATATTGAAATGTAATTGTCATCTTTGATAATGGCTTATGTAAGCCGAAAGCTTAGATCGGATTTAAACATGTATCAATATGGTGATTTCCTTTCGTCTTTCAATGATAATGTTATTAAGCTTATCAGACAATATGAAAGAAACTTACTTAAAATAAATAGACACATCTTGTCTATATTATTTAATGAAACATGCATCAATGAAAAATTACTGCCTAAATATACACAATATATATATATATATATATATATATATATATATATTGGCAGCATGTTTTCATTAAGACATTCACAAACAAGCTTCTTAGTATCCTTATTAAAGGAAGAAATAGAATTATCATCTTGATATATATTCATTTATTCCGAGTACTTTCGCCATAACACAATGTCATCATCAGGGTGTTGTATACTTTACTAAATTCAATATATTCACTTTAATCATTCGTAATGACTCCTCTCCACCAACTAACATCTAGCAGAAAACTAACATTGTATATAAATTTACATGTCTCTTGGAAGATTGGATCTCCATCAGAAAAATAATATATACGTTGGTCATACTATTACGACGTTGTCTCGATGGTTGAGGTTTCATTTGAATGATGCATTAAACATATCACAACATTTACAACATCATTTCTGTACACATTCGCATTTTAGGAAATTTTTTGTTGAAAATACATCTATACTCTTTTTTTTATGAAAATAATAAACTAAAAATTCATGAAGCTATCTATATTAAAAATTGAAACCAATATTTAATAAAATTAATTATGAATACTGCACAAATTTTTTGAGATGTTTACAGTAGATAGTTCAAAATATATAGATTTTAATTAATAGTTTTAAATAGTTTCATTTGGACATTTCATAAATTAGTTACCTCTCTAGACGTTTACACCGTGCAATTTAAGTTGTACAGTAAAAACGTTAGCGTTTTCCACTTTACAGGTAATATTTAACTTTCAGATGAGCACAACAATTTTGTCTTAAGAAAATGGTGACCAGAACAGTTTTTGTTTTACAAAAAATAACACTCATCTGATTACATTATGCTAATGTCGAAAGTACTCGGAGTAAATGAATATGAATCAACATGGTAATTTTACTTTTCTTTTAACAAGGTTACTAAGAAGTTTATCCGTAAGTATGTGAGGATCCTACTGAAAATAACTCGACCAAACTTGTCTAAATTATTCAAAGAGACAACTACATATCTCTCTCTCTCTCTCTCTCTCTCTCTCTCTCTATATATATATATATATATATATATATATATATATATATATATATATATATGCTGTCATTAGCTGTTCAAGCACGAAGTCACAAGTCATCGGTGATCATGGACGAGGGTTTGAGCGCGCTGGCCTTGTTCAAATTGTTGATCACGCTAGATAACACTCTCTTTCTCATAGTTGGTTATTCGGGATGTGCTGGGCGATATGTGCACAAATTTCACTGACTTTTGACAAGTTAACCTGCGAGAGAGTGTGGTGCATATGAGCCTCATGTTAGAATTTAATGCTGTGTTTTTTTTTTATTAATATTGGTTATGAGAATTCATAAACAACATAATTTTTACGTAATAGGATTTTTTTGACGATTGGAAATCATGTTTTTATACTTTTTATAGTAAATGATAAATCTAAGGTATTTGGTAGGATCGTTGAGTCATATGTTTTGGCGAATTATGTTTTTAATCGCTTTTTCATATTGCTTATAATTAGGTTGCATCTTGTTACGATACAAGAAGTTAATGGTGTGTTGATTTTTGTTTGCATCAGGGTGATGCATTTATTTATGAACTCAATAATAAATTCCCTTTCCTCGACGTTTTAGTCGACACCAACGGCCATAACTTCACTACTTCTTTCTGGAAAAAAAGCTTTAGCGTTATATCTACTAAAGCGTTATATCAACTAGAAAAGTGAATGTCC